TGGGTCACGGGCCGCCCCGGGCGGGCGAGGAGCCGGGTCTGGGGCCAGGACAGCTCCGCCCCGAGCCCGCCCGGCCCACAGACAGGCCGCGGGCAGGCGTCCCTTGACCAGTCATTCCTGCCTTCCGCCAAGACCGGTCCCGGCTCCACCCCGGAAGCAGCGGAGCCAGGACACGGGCCAATCGCGGGTCGGGACGAGGAGGACGAGGTCTGAATCGCCCGCGAAATGAAGTGTGTTTCCCGCGCTCCCGGGCCATGGCGGAGGCGGGGGCGCTGCAGAGCTGTGAGCTGTTGCCGCGGCCCTGCGGGGGCGGAGCGGCCCGGGGCGGTGAGCGGGACCCGGTGGGGCTGGAGGGAGGGGGTGCCCTGCACATGCCCCGGGGATTTCCCTTGCTGCCCCAGCACCGCCCTCCCCGGCGCTGCCGGACTCCTGCCTAGATCTCAGTAACCCCCCGCTCTGCTCCATTTCAGGTCTGTGCTCCAGCCTCGGACTGTGGAAAGGTCTGACCCTGCTCCTGCTGGCAGCTGTCCTGGTGCTGGTGCTGGTGCTGGCTCTGGCGCTGGCACAGAGAGGTAAATGCCCTGCGTGGAAGGGGGGCTTCCCCCAGGCTGCAGCAGCCCCCAAATCCCTTGTCCCTGATCAGTGATACGCTTCAGTCTGCCTTTAGTCTTCATGTTATTTTCGGTCAACATTTAATGCGTCCGTGAGGCTTTTAAATCCATGAGATGAGATCAGTGGTTCTCAACCGGGTGCTGCCACACTGGTCTGCCATGAGATGCTTTCCCAGGTGCTGCAGCAACATCGTGGTTTCATAACTCCGGGTCATCACCCATTGCTGGGAAGAATCATTTCCTCCTAAGTAACTTGAGAGTACACCAAATGTCCCCATGCTGGTATCTGGACACTACGGCATTCTACTTTCCTGGCCCCTTGGCAGCCAGGTTTACTCATCTAAGTTCCCCAGTGCCACTTATGTCCAGGTTGGCATTTTGTCTTGGGGCATGTGTGTAGGGCTATGCATGCAGGAGCAGAGTGCCAACTTGTGCATAGCTGGCATTTGGGGGATTAAGAGGACTACATCTGGTTGTCCAGGTGTCCAGAAAAGAAGAGAATGGACACTTACAGGGTGGCAGAGTCCTAGGCTCTAGGCCACTGGTTCTCCACCCCCAGCCCCATCAGGCCATGTGAGATCCTATCAAAACTTTTTTTAAATGGATGTACAGTCAGTAAGTTGTCTGGGTGCAGCCCAGATAACACATTGACAGCTGCAAGCATGGCCCGCTATGCCAAATAGGTTGAGAACTAGTGCTCCAGGCCAAACTGCCTTATAATAGTTTATTTGTCCAAGGAACAACACAGTTGAACTTGGATCAACGATGCAAAGATTTTCCAAATGTCTTTGTTCCGTTTTATGTTATGACATTTTTATCTTTGAAATTCTCCACGTAGGAATGGTATCCAGACTGTAGCATGTAGCTTTAGGTCTCCTACTTCCAGTTCCTACATAGCTTGAGAGACAGCTACAAGCAGGCACATAATTGCTTCTTATGCTACTTTCCATACAGGCAATTCTTGTGCTTGCTACAGAGCATTTTGTGAAAGGGAGATGGCCTTTAACGGACCATGTGCCTAAATGGCACATTGCCCATGGTTGGGCTTCTGACCTATGGTGGGTGATCAGGTTAATAGCTGTCATTAACTGTAGATCAGTGCTAAAGCACTGCTAACATGTTGACAGCTAGGGGTGCATGGCTAGAGGTTTTTTGGGCCGATACCGATGGCCTATTTTAAATGAGCCATGTTGGCCAATACCAATTTGACTGCTGATACGTGCTGGAGAGCAGCGTCCAGCTGGTAAGTCTGTTGTGGGGGAGCAGATAGAAGCCCCCGCAGTGAGAGGGAGTAGGGCTGGAGTTGGGGCAGGCTCTGGACAGCTGTGGCGAGGTGGGGCATGGGATGATGCCACAGCTTGTTTTTAGAGTGCAGGGTGGAGACAGGGGGGACCATCCTCCCAAGACTAATGCGAAGGTCAGATTTAACTTTAGCTGTTTCTCCAGTTAAATTATTGACTTATCTCATAGCTGTTTAGAAAGTTGAGATGTGAATAAAATACACTGCTGATTACCTTCTGCTTGTTAGGAGCTGTCACTGAGACTGCAGCTGCCACTGTTATGACAGAGAGGTGCAGACCCTGCCCAGAAGACTGGATTTGGTACAGAAATCAGTGTTACTATTTTTCCAAAGAAATGCAAAACTGGAATAGCAGTTGGAAGTTCTGCTGGTCACACAATGCTACCCTTGCTATGATAAAAGAAAAATCAGCACTGGTGAGAATAAGAGATCATTTTCTTCTATTGCAGGGATCTTCATGAATTATTTATTTCTACCTAATATTTGTACCTAATAATCTCCCCATGAACAGATTTAGGCAAAGACATTTTAACAGGAACAGACAATTGATTCAATCTTTGAAGGTTAGTCTAACCTGCCTAGGCTAAATCACTTTGTAACTGCACAGACATCTCAGACATGCAGGCACATGGCTGCAGTGGCTCAGGATAGAGGCCTGGGGGCACTAGAGCAGCCCTCCCTTCCCTTGGACAGGGCTGAGTTTAGGGAACATGGCCAGGCCCCAATGGGATTAGGGAGGGGTTCACCTCCCTCCCCCCCACCCCCTTGCTCCTTGATAACAGAGCATATATCAGCTCTGTTATCAGCATTTATCACCCCATCAGAAAACAAGCAACCTCTCTCATTAGTTCAAACTCTTCTTAAACAAAGATGGAATGGGGGGACATTACCAGCTGAGTTGTTGATTAGCTCCCAAAAGCCCTAAGCCAACACTGCTGTCTGCCATAACACAGACCATAGCCAGCATGTGGTGTACTAGCTAATGCAGTGTGTCTGTGTAAGTCAGAGGGACAGGGGATCCCTGCTTATCAGGGTGTGGTGAAGGGGGTGGAGAGCAGGAGCAGATGCTGCTGTGCCTGCAAGTCTGCTGGAACTGCAGCCAGGGAGCAGAGGGGAGGGGCCAGCCCTGCTGTGGAGCAGAGAGCCCTTACCAGGTCAGAGAGCATGCTGGGATGCTGGGGGAGTCTGATTTAACTTAAACCAGCAAGGAGTGGGTCTGGGACAGATTGCATAAACCGGTTTGACCCAAATCAGTTAAGTCTGATACTACATTCAACCAGGTTTATCTTAAAACGGTTTTGGTGGTTTTCAAACTGGTTTATGTCTAGTGAACATCTGTTCTGTTATGGGTTTAAACCAGTTTCTGATCACTTAAACTGGCTTACTGTAATGTGTGCCTCTAGCCTAGAAGGGTAGCCTGTGCCCTTCAAGAGTTCTGGTGCCTTCAGCCAACCACTTGACCCAGAGTCAAGGCATAGCTCATGTAAAAGAAGGTACTCCAGGAAGGTCCAAGTTGGGAAAGCACCGGAGCCTAGTACTACTTCAGGGAGTGCAAGAAGTAGCACCAGAAGCAAGAAGTTGAACCAGAGCCAGGAAAAGAGCTGGGAGAAAATCTTAGTGAAGAAGTAATGGTCTACAGACAGAAAAATGTGGAAACTGGCAGCTAGGAAAGTGTGCCTAAAGACCAGTAGAGACTCATGGAAAGGGGAGGTGGTTTGTCCCCTGGACCAAGTGAGGAAGAAGTCCTAGCCCTGTCTGAGAAGTAGAAAAGACATGAGGAGAAAGACTCCTCAGCAAGGCTGGGGTTGGAAAAGACCTTCAGATTTGTCCTTGGAGAAACAGGGAGCCCAGCCCTGGCACAAAGGGGTACTGGGAGTGTGAACAGGGGTGGAGTGCAGGGCAGAAAGCTGGAGGAACAGTATGTTGAGAAGACGTAATAGACCAAATGCTGTACGGTCAAATACTGTTCTGAGTACTCCTGGCTGTGAGTAACTGGGAGAACAAAGAGGAGACTGGGATACAATGACTGCAGTGCCACTCCTGGCCATCAGGTAGCATGTTCCTGGACTGTGCCTGCACCTCTGCCAATTATATATATATAAAAGCCTTAGTCTGTATGTCTATCTGTCCATAGCGCTTTATTCGCAGTCTGATTGGTTGTCTGAAACAGCCAATCAGAGTGCTCCAAGAACATTCTGGACAGGAGGTGGGAGCAGCGGTGCGCCGTGATGGCAGCAAAGAAGTGGCCAGAGCTGGGGGTGAGGCCAGTAGTGCTGGCCTTGCTCTGCCCCTGGCCCTGCTCAGTGGACGCAGAGGGGACAGAGTGGTGGGGAAATGGGCCCGGATCTGACGCAGCAAGCGGGGAATGGGGCTGGATTAGAAGTGGGAGCAGGGCCAGATGCAGGGCTCCACCCCCACCACCCTCCATGGCAGTGGGGATGGAGGGCCGAGTGTGGGTAGTTGAGCTGGCTTTGCCCCCTGCTCTGGTGCAGAGGGCTGGATGTGGGCAGCGGGGGACGGTGCATGGACCAGCAAGGGAGTGGGGGGAGTTGCGCCGGACCTGGACCCGGACGGGGGGGGCGGCCTCTGGCCTGAAGCACAGGGAGTAGGGGAACCGGGCCAGACCCGAAGTGCTGGTGGGGGGCTGGGCCTCTGTCTCTCCTGCCCCCCTGCCCTGTGTCATTCTTGACAGGCAATTTGCTAATAGCTTCATATTCTGTCTCGAGCATTTAAATGGTGTGAATAACTGTTCTTTTTCATCCTTAATTACAGGACACTATCTACTCTAATAAAGGGGAAGAAAATTACTGGATAGGTCTAAGGAAAGAACCAGAGGGATGGCGGTGGGTAGATGGATCGCCTTTCATTAATGACACGTGAGTTACTCTAGCTGTGACTGCCTGGAGGGGTGGGGAGAAGCACATCTCTCTGATCAAAGCCAAGAAAAAAAACCTAAGCTACTCCTAAAGCTGACTTGAGGAAGTGCCTCTATGCAAATGTATTTTAAGTTTTTCCAGTGAACTGGGGGCTTTTGCCAAACATAAAATGGTGTTGCTTGGTTTTGCTTTGGTGGGAGGTGTGCAGATATTCTTTGCAGTTGTGTTCTGTAACTGCACCACCAAGTCCAGAATAGAAGCCATTTTTTCTCTTTTTTTTTCTTCAGAATTTCATTGGAAAAAGAGGGGCAAAACATGGCCTGCGCATACCTAAATATGCTGGGTTTGGCTGCTATCGACTGCATGTCTTTGAGACCTTGGATCTGCGTCAGGAAGTCCACTTGAGCTCTCTTAGTCAGCAGAGCACAGCTTGTTCAAGTAAGGCACAGGAGCAACTTGAGTTTGGTTTTCCATTTCCCTGGGGAAGGCTCCTCCAATTTACTGTAGCTGGAACAACAAATATCAGATTTTCTCCTGACACAGGGTGTTCGGGTGTCTGCCATAGCTTTTGTGCATGGGTGTTGCAGAGCTTCATAAGAAGTAGCATCCTGGGTCATACCAATAGTCCACCTAGCTCAGTGTCCTGTCCCCAGCAGTGATAGGAGTAGATGCTATACAGGGAGATCACTGAAGTGGATTTCCCTAGAGTGACCTATCACCTCTTCAGTGACCTCCCTGACATCCACCACTTACTGATTTAGAGCTGTCAAAAGAAACATCTCTCACCTTTGATGCAAATCATTACGTAGCTCCATGGCCATCTAGACTTGCTGTTTCAGGGGCACCCCGGAGTGGCCAAGGAATTTCCAGCTGGCAGAGCACTGTCGTTGTTAATATTGCTTGGAGCAGAGTGAGCCAAAAGTAGGCACTATTTAATCCTTTGCATTGGCTGCGTAGCAGATCACGTCCAGAGATGCTTGCCTTACTCCTTAGAGAGGCTAACTCTAATGACTAGACTAGACTAGAACTGATACATTACCGTGACAAACAAAGCAGAGCTAATCTGTAAATACAATGCAAAATACACTCATTTAAACACACTCAAGAATTTCTAGAGTTTTCATATCTGAAACTATTCTGGAAATTGAAAACAATAGAAAAGTTAAGGTGGCAAGGCTCTGTGGTGAGGATGATGGTTCATGGGAACTGTTTCCTTTTTCTTATCAAACAATTTTACCTCCATCCTTAATTACAGGAAACTATCTACTCTAATAAAGGAAAAGAAAATTATTGGATAGGGCTAAGGAAAGAAACAGAGGGATGGCGGTGGGTAGATGAGTCACCGTTCACTAATGATATGTGAGTTACTCTAGTTGTGACTGCTTGGAGAGGTAAGGAGAAGCACATTTGTCTGAACATAGCCAAGAAAAAAAATCAAGCTACTCCCAAAGCAGACTTGAGGAAATGTCTATAGGCAAATGTATTTTTAGTTTTTCCAGACATCTGAGGGCTTGTGGAAAACATAAAACGGTGTTGCTTCACTTCGATTTGTTGGGAGGTGTACAGGTATTCTTAGCATTTCTGTTCCGTAACTGAAACACCAAGTCCAGAATAGAAGCCATTTTTTCTCTTTTTTTTTTTTCTTCAGAATTTCATTGGAAAAAGAGGGGCAAAACATGGCCTGCGCGTACCTAAATATGGTGGCTTTGGATCCTATAGACTGCATGTCTTTGAGACCCTGGATCTGTGTTAAGAAGTCCACTCAGTCAACAGAGCACAGCTTGTTCAAGTAAGGCACAAGTGCAACTTGTGTGGTTTTCCATTTTCCCCTGGGGAGGCTCCTCCATTGTACTGGATTGTAATTGGGAGAATAAATGACTGTCACATTTTCTCCTTTTACTTATCACTTTTACTATGTGTCCTGATTGCTATTTTTAATTTTTAATGTCCTTAAAATTTCCATTAATAATTAATATAATACTAAAATGCATGTAAACATAAAAATACACTTCTTGGGAAAAGTGAGGCTTTGTTTTTATCATGGTGGGACCAGGGTTTTTTGACAAAATGGTTGGTGGGACATAAGGTGTAAGAGGATGAGAACCGCTGATTTACAGGACCAATAAAACTTATTAAACATATATATCTGAGAACTATTTACAAATTTATATTAATAAGGCAGTAAATCTTATTACTCATATACACAGACAGAAATAAGTGGATGTGACAGACAGAGGCACTTTATTGATATAAACCGTGACTCCCAATGGTCTTATTGGGGTATAGCCCCTACACTCCCAGACCTTGCAGGCTGCAGGCAAGGGAACAAACACCACTGGCACCAGGTTAAGCAGCGGCTCACTGAAAGGAACCCAATGATAAATAAACACTGGTTAGAGCAGGGGCAGGCAATTATTTTGGGCGGAGGGCTGCTTACCGAGTTTTGGCAAGCTGTCAAAGGCCGCATGGGCAGCCCCACCCCTAGACAGCTGCCCTGCCCTCTGGTTGCCAACTTGTGACTGAAAGTCCTGCCCCCTAACCCCTGACCTTTGCCATGCAAAGTCCCTCCCCTTGTCCTGGGAAGTATGCCTTTCAGCAAGGGGTTTTGCCATCTCGGAACCAAGAAAAAAAACAAATTATATTCTAAAAAGCAAACATCTACAGCATTCATTAATTTGATTTCAAAAAATATTTTTGTCCTGATTTACATGCGTTTGTGTAGTGTACACAGATGTGATTAAAATGAAGTCTTATTCTTGTATACCATGGGGATGCATGTAGATTGGCTGTGGGTGTGTGGGTATGGGGTTTCTGGGGTGCACTGTGTGTGGGGAGAGAGTGGCTGGGTTGTATGAGGGGGTATGGGGGTCTGCGTGTATGGCAGTGCGAGGGGAGGTGTGGATGCATGTGTATGCTGGAGTGTGCATGTGGGACTCACCCTATGAACACGCACCCACACACACACACTGCCCCTGTCTGTATGCATGCACATACACCTGTACTGGCAGGGCCCCATGCCACCCAGTTCCACGATGCAGCCAGGAGACATGTGGTGCTGGTAGGGCAGGAAGAGAGTGAAATGCTTGGGGGTGGGGTAGGGGTGGGCTGCTCAGTTCTGTGGAGGGTTCCCCCTGGATCCTACTGCCCCTGGCTCCTGTCAGCTTTTACAGGAAGCCAGGAGCAAATAAATATTAATTTACTAATTTTTTAGGGGTTCCGCAGGCCAGATAGAATGGCCTGGTGGGCCAGATCCAACCCACGGGCCGCATTTTGCCTGCCTCTGGGTTAGAGCATACATAAACAAGGTTACAGCAATACAAACCCACACATTGGCATAACAATCACTTGAATCCAATGTGATAATCACAATATCGTCCACAGTGTTTTTGTAGCTGACCAATGAGCAAACAAAACAGGGCAGTATGTAAACTTCTTATAATACAATATTGAAGTAAATAAATTCACAGTGAAACATACAACTTACGGCCCACACCACATACATATATGGACCAAGGCAACCTTAAACAATTACATAAACAGATCCTTCCCTACCCAGTGCCAGGTACTCCCAACCCCCATCCCCCAATTTTTTCATGTGGAGGAGCAAACAGCCCCACCCCCCAGCCAGAACCAGGGCTTTCTGCCTGTTTGAGGGGGAATAATAAGAATGTCATGGTGAAAAGGCTTCTCCATTTGCCAAAGATTCTATCTGAAGTGAAGTGTCTTCCATGCCAGGGCTGTTAAAGAAGACTATTTTCTTTGTAGGAGGTCCTGAAAAGTGACTCTGAGCTGAAGATATTTCTCTAAGTATGAGGAGGAGCTGGGATTCTGCTTCCCATGTAAATTTAAGGAATGGATCAGCCTTTTTGAGACCAAAGCTATGAGGTTTTCCATTTCTGTGAAGCAGCTCATTTGAGATGTGAAGTATAACAGGGTGAGCCACTTCTCTCTCTCTCTCTCTCTCTCTCTCTCTCAGATCTTGTGTTTGCTTATTTTTGTTTCTTTTATTTAACTAGGGATTTTAAAAAAATGCTTTGAAAAATATGATCACTGCATATGAAAGATACTGCAACCCCTTTGAAGTGCTCTTCACTTTTCTCCTTCGATTGAATAATGCTCAGAGCATAATGGACAGTGTCACTTAGGGCTGTGCGAAATTTCACTGCCAGTTTTATTTCAACACTGTTTCAACTCATTTCAAGGTTGAAACAGCAAAATTGGAATGGAACAGATATTGTCAAAACAGTCTTGAAACAAAATGAGGCAAGTCAAAATGTTTCACCGTTTTGATGATGTTTCAGCGGTTCACCCATAGGCTATAATGGGGAAGGTTGAAACACCCTATAACTTTGTAATTTCTAGCCTGATTTAGATGAAACTTATAGGAATGGTATCCCCTTCTGAGGGCATGAAGTCTGCCAAGCTTCAAGGAGGTAGGTTCAAGGGGTTCAGAGAAACTGCACCCCAAATTCTTGAAAGCAAAACTTGTGTCATGTGTATGTGTTAAGCCACAGAGAGGTCAAAACTGCAGGCTTGCTAGCCCCTTCTGAGGCCACAAAGCCTGCTAAGTTTCAAGGAGATAGGTGCAGGAGGTTCGGGGAAACTGCACCCCAAAATCTTGAAAGCAAAACTTATGTCACATGTATGTGTTAAGCCACAGCAGGGTCAAAACTGCTATATCACGCCGGGGCTGGAGTCAGCCCCTGCACCCATCTCCTTGACAGCTGGCAGGCTTCATGGCCTCAGCAGGGCAGCAGCTTTCATCCTGCTGCGCCTTAATACACACAGTGTCACCCGTGTCATGAGTTTTGCTTGTTCGCAGCTTGAGGTGCAGTTCCCCCAAACCCTACACCTATCACCTTGAAACTTGGCAGGCTTTGTGGCCTCACCAGGGGCTACCAACCCTGCAATTTTGACCCCACTGTGGCTTAACACATACATGTGACATGAGTTTTGCTTTCAAGTCTTTGGGGTGCAGTTTCTTCCAAACCCCTGCACCTATCTCCTTGAAGCTTGGCAGGATTTGTGGCCTCCACTGGGGCTAGCATGGTTGCCATTTTGACCTTGCTCTGGCTTAACACATATACATGACGCAAGTTTTGCTTTCATGAATTTGGAGTGCAGTTTCTCCGAACCCCCTGCACCTATCTCCTTGAAACTTGGCAGGCTTCCTGCCCTCAGAAGGACAACCATTCCTGCAAGTTTCATCCAAATCAGGCCAGAAATGACGGAATTATAGGCTGTTTTGACCTTCTCCATTATATCCTATGGGCGGAACATTGAAACAGGGTCGAAATGGCAAAACTGTTTCGACAGAACGGAACAGAACAGCTGTTTTGAATTGAAACAAAATTCAAAATGAAATGCTGTTCCTTCGAATTGTTGAAACGCTGGTTGAAACAGAACGCTGCCATTTCGTACAGCCCTAAGGTCACTGCCACTTTAAGAGACTTTTGCAGAACTGAATCCATCCAACACTGGTGTAAACAATTACACACGTTCCTGGAAGTAGAGACTCAGAGGAAGGCTTTAAAAAACCCTGAACACGTAGCAGTGGAGAGGGGAAGGATTTCCTCCCAGCCACATGCAGTAACCAGCAAAGTCTAGAAGTATGGAAATACCCATAGTATAACATAGGCATAGCTACGCCTAAATCATCCCCAACCAGTAACTGTCCAACCTCTTCTTGAACAGCTCCTGTGATGGAGAGTCCACAGCATCCCTAGACAGTCTATCCCACTGCCTCACTGTTCTAAGTGTCAAGAAGTTTTTCCTGATCTCCAATCTAAACCTACTTTGCTGCAACTTTAAACCATTGTTTCAAATCTCACTTTCCACAGAAAGACAGAAATGGTGTTTTCTCTCTTTTTTTATGGCGGTCCTTCAAGTATTTGAAGATTACTGTCATGTTCCCTCTTAAGCACCTTTCTGCAAGCTGAAGTTGCCTATTTTCATAGATTTCATAGACATTAGGGCTAGAAGGGACCTCAGAAGATCATTGAGTCCAGCCCCCTGCCCAAAGGGCAGGAAGTCAGCTGGGGTCATAGGATCCCAGCAAGATAAGCATCCAGTTTTCTCTTGAAGGTGTTCAATGTAGGCGCTTGAACCACCTCCGGTGGCAGGCTGTTCCAGACCTTGGGGGCTCAGACAGTAAAGAAATTCTTCCTTATGTCCAGCCTGAAACGGTCTTGTAGTAGTTTATGACCGTTTGACCTAGTCGTCATCCCTTGGGGCGATCTGGTGAACAAACGTTCCCCCAGATACTGGTGGTCACCCCTGATAGACTTATAGGTGGCCATCAGATCACCCCTGAGCCATTTTTTCTTCAACCTCTCCTTATATGACTTTCTTTCCAAGTCCTTTATCATTTTTGTTGCACAGCTCTGGACCTTCTCTACCTTCTTCACATACTTTTTAAAATATGGAGGCCAAAATGTCATGCGATACTAGATATGGCCTAACCAGCACCAAGTAGAGAAGGTTTTGCATCTACTGCTTTTATTGATACATCCCTAAACTGTATTCATGATACATCCCTAAACTGTATTCATCTTTTGTGCAGCTTCATCACACTAGAGACTCATACTGAGTCTGTGATCCACCAAGACTCTCAGATCCTTTTCCACAGTGCTGTCATCCAGCCAGATGTCATCCATTCTGTATTTGGATTTTCTACTATTCTTTCTGATGTGTAGCACCTTGCATTTGTCAACATTGAACTTCATCCTGTTAACTCCAGCCCAGCTTTCCAGTCTATGAAGATCCTTCTGAATTGCACTCCCATTCTCTAAAGTGATCACAGCCCTTCCTAGTTTTACATCTGGCCAGTACAGACTCACCTCCTAGTGGTGCTGCAGCAGGCAGATGGGCAGGATGGCTACTCAGCACA